TTCTTCCTCCGATCGTCTTCTATCATCCTCAATCTCATACTTGGTATATTTTCATTCTAGTTCTGCACTTTAGCTCAACTTTCCAATATTTGCACCTTTGATCCCCGAACTATCGCATTGTTCCGTTTTGGTCCTTTTTCGACTATTTTCTTCTAAATTCCATCTTTTTCATAGAAACACCTACATTGCATGAATTTAACGAGATTAAGTCACAATTTCAACTACTTTGTCCATATTTAAGTCATGTTTGTGAGCTAAATAAGTGTGTAAAAATACACTTATCAAATCTCCCAAACTTAAACTATTGTTTGTCCTCAAACAATGTAGTGACTTAATGCTAAACAAACATGGCTTAATAGCTTGCCGTGTCTCAAGATTGGACTTAGTAATAATAATAGAAACAATATCAAGAGTGCGGGAATTGAATCAACCTTTACTCATCAAATGCAATACTCAACGTGTGTGTGTGTGAACTCATGCCAACATATCAAGTTTGTGATTAGTTTATTCTCGACCCATAGTGGTCAAATATATCCTTACGTCACTCGAGAGATACACAATCCCCAAATATATTCTTTTCACACAATTTCTTCGGGGTGTATTCTAAGGTTAGGAGTTTAAACAATTCTAATTCTTACCCTTTCTTAGTTTGGATAGATTTTACCATTACAAGTTCACATATCAACAAGTAGAGGCTCTCCTTATTTTGATTGCTTCAACCTTTAGGATTAGACTAAGCTACTTGCCTAGCATTGAGATTGTAGTTCTATCAACCAAATGTCCAATGAGGGCTTTTATTTTTTTTATTTTTTTTTTTGTGTCATCTTCTCATTTGCTTTCTATATAACCCATGTAACGAGCTTTAGGCGATGACTCCCAAACCAGTTGGCTTTAGGGCACTAGGTTTTAAACCCTTGCAGTCTTATTCACTCGAGTTATAAAGGCTCGATAAGATGACTTTTTATCAATTCTCCTTTTTCTTGCTTTCTATATGACCCATGTAACGAGCTTTAGGCCGATGACTCTCAAACCAGTTGGTATTAGGGCATCAGGTTTTAAACCCTTACAGACTTACTTGCTCGAGTCATAAAGGCTTTTTGAGAGAAGTGATAATTTTCCACTTTTTACTTTATGCCCCTTCTTTGTTTTTCTAGACATTTGACTTCTAAAACCATCGTCACTTAAAGCTTTCACCTATTTCTCACCTTCCGGGTTTAAACAATCCACACATTCTAATTTCATGCACGAAGCCCCCACTTATCTCCATGTTTCCCTACAATGGCTCAATCATCTCCAAACTATCTTAAAGTGATATTACGGGTTAATGTTATAAAGGGTTATTCTACGTTTCTCCTAATTTATTCTAAAATTTCAATCAATAACTTAACATGTGACATGAGTGGCGTGCAAAAGAGTGTCAAGCAATGCATCGACAAGTATTAGCAAATTAAATCTTGCACTAAATCCACAGTTTCTAGCTTATACACGTCCAATAATCACATCATAGCCGGCAAGGTTACCAAACCCACACAAGCATGCAAACGTTCATAAAGATTCGCTCATCAAGCATGCATCATGCAAAAACTTGTCAAAATTAACGATGGATTGTGAATATGCAAAATAATTACATGCCGAATATTTGTTTGAAATTATGCTACCATCCCCCAAACTTATACAATACATTGTCCTTAATGTAAAATGTAAAGTTAAAATGCAAAATTTAAAACATGGACACAACTTGACAATAAGAGATTAACAAAACTCCCCTGATCAATTCGGTGGCTGTGGTGTGAAGCTGGGACCCACAGCATCATCTTCAGGAGGAGTTGGGAGGCGAGATCGGACTTGTCTCAGCAGATTGGACTGCTGTGCTTGCTTGGCCTGAATGGCTTGAAGACTACTCTCCATATTTCCTAAGCAATCCCAAGTTTCATTCACACGCCACTGTATGCCATCCATTCTCCCAGCATACATGTTGAACCTACCATTCATAGTCTCTACTTCCCTTCTTACAGCTGTGGCTTCATTTAAAGCACCTGTTGTGTAGTCTTGGGAGGGGTAGAGGTCTCTCTGCACTTTTTCAACAGTGGTGGTCATCGTCTCGAACCTCTGCTGGAGATTTTGTATATCCCTACTAGTTCCAGTGGCTGTGGCAAATATCTGTCGAAGTAGCTGTGAATCCATCTCAACTGGTTGTGGCGGAGCTTGTGGTAAGTGTAAATCTTCAGCAGCTTGTCCTTCTTCCTACGCATTTTGTCTTTGCTGCCCAAGTCTATCTTGTTCTCTCTTCCTTACCCTAGCTCATTCTTGAGCTTCAAATGTGGTGAGCTTTATCAATGGGCTTGATTTCTCAGGCATCTCCCCTGCCTCAACTGTAACACCGACGACAAGAAATATCCCGCTAATCAGACTAGGGAAAATCATCGAAGACCGCCTATCTCCCCAGGTTTCCAAATTTTGTATTTGGTAAAAAATAAGAGTAGCTAAATCAACTTTGCATCACAGGTCTAAATGATATATGAACCCAGCAGTTTGATCCGTGAAAGTTTTCCGATGCGATGTGGGTTCGATATTATGACACATGAAGACCCAAAGGATGGCTATGGAGGGAGTAAGCTCAATTTGATGCCACTCTGCAATGGGTAGGGGCCAAGCATTCTCTCTTCCCAAGAGAACCTCCGCCACTTCATTCCAATTGAGTTGAGTGGGAATTGGGACCATATTGTCCAAATTAAGATTGTAGAAGTCATGAATGATGGCTGGGGAGAACATTATCCACTTACCTTGCACCCACGTCTGGTGTAAGTGTTCAGAATCTGGAGTCTCAATTTCACTATTGAAGTTTGCATAAAATTCGCGGACTATACTTTCATAAACCAAGTGTGGCTTTTCTACAATCTTCGCCCATCCACAAATTTGTATCAGATTTGTCAACTCAAAACCATGAAAATCATCTAACCGGACATGTCTCTCTGGTATCATGCCCCATTGGCGTATTATGTTCTCATATCGAGCTAATGTTTCTGCATCACAAAATCTTCACACACCTCCTATTAGCTCTCTGGTGCGGGCTGTACCGGAGGAGGAACCAACTTTTTCTTTACCTTTTGATGTTCTATTCGACGGCATCCTACAAAAATAAGGAACAAAGTGTATCAAGTTCTTGAAATAGGAAAATGATAAAGAATATCATTGACATGCAAGAATCCCCCAAACTTTCTACAAAATATGTTCAATATTCATCGTATGGAATTCAATGTAACATCAATAGTGCATTAATGAGAAAAACTCAAAACTATGGCTCTAACATGCATTTTTTTTAAATTCGACCCATGATTAAGTACCAACTTCAGCCCCGAGCATCACCGAGAAATATTAAAATTTTCCCAGACAAGGTCCAGGCATATGAAAGTACTCATTGTGGTCTAGCATACATCCAAATTTCACTACAATCGAAGGTCGTTTGGTTAGGAAAATACATGGACGAAGTTAGTGACGTGAGTTGACATGGCTTAGCAATTTATGTGGTTATGTGCACAAATATGTGAGGCTAACGTTTTCTAATGAAATTCCATGAGATTTAGTATGCCTCATATTAACAAGGTAAGTCATCACACAAATAAAAAGTTCAAAATTTCAAATTATATGTCTTATTGACATTTAATCGAACACGTTGTGTGCATTGGAAATTTTCTTCACTTTGTTTTTTGATTTACACTTAGGGCTAATCCACAAATCACAATTCAATCACAATTCAACACTTACTCAATTTGAAATGGCAATAAAATCAAAGAATATCTTTAAATTTTGCATAGAGATTAAATTTCTTACCTTGAGATCTTTGTGAAAGGAAAGTAGAACCTTTGCTCCAAAATTCTTGATAATTTATGCCAATGATGTGAGTAGTGTAGCGTGGTGTAGGGATTTGATAAGTGTGTTGGTGATTTATGTTGTGAGTGAAGGTGGATTTGGGGGGAGGGAGAAGTGCGTTCGTGTGGAGGTGTTTCTGGGGAGGGGGGGAGGGGAATGGGTTGTTTTAGCAAGTGACGGGTTTAAAACCCTTCACTTTAACACCATGCGACCGCATGGTGTAATATTGTTAACCCATTATAGTTTTGGTGAGGGTCCATGCGATCATGCGGCCGCATGAACCAAACCAATTTTTTTTTTTAAACTAAAGCAAACTTACAATTATAACCCCCAAACACACCTTGAAATTTAAAAATCCCTCGAAATTGGAAACCAAAATTTTTTTTTTTAAACTGAAGCAAACTTACAATTATAACCCCAAACAAACCTTGAAATTTAAAAATCCCTCGAAATTGGTTTTCAATTTCAAAAATTGACTCGACTCTACATATTGGAAATTTTTTTTTTAAGAAAAATCTTGAAAAATAAAACGAAAGACGTTGAACCACGAAATTCATTACTTCACACTCAAACACCCAAAACACTTTCTTTAACCCCGACTCATGCAACTATAAATGTGTAGTGCCTACACTATCATGCGTGAATGATCGATGACCTAATAAAAAATACTAAATGTAAACAAGTTCCAAAACAAATGCAATAAAATGAATTGAAGGATACAGTGGGTTGCCTCCCACCCAGTGCTAGTTTATAGTCGATGGCTCTACTTTCCTGTATTTTCTTCACGTTAGGTTGTTGAGTTGCACAGTGGACTTCTACTTAGGGAAATTATAGCCCCAATAGTGTTTCAGTCTTTGCCCATTGATGATGAAAGTGCCTTTGGTCTCGTGACTCACTTCAATAGCCCCATATTGCATCACCTTAGTTATGGTATAGGGACCCGACCACCTTGTTCTTAGCTTTCCTGGGAAGAGTTTGAGTCTAGAATTGTACAATAACACTTTCTGCCCAACTTCAAACTCTCGCCTCTGAATGTTTAAATCACGCCATCTCTTGGTGCGCTCTTTGATCAACTTTGAGTTTTTGTAAGCTTCCATTCTCATCTCATCCAATTCATTAAGTTGCAGCAGTCATTTTTCACCAGTAGCCTTGAGATCCATATTCAACTGTTTCATAGCCCAATATGCTCGATGCTCCAACTCCAATGGTAGATGACACGCTTTCCCAAAAACCAGGCGGTATGGAGACATTCCTATTGGTCTCTTAAACGCTGTTCTGTATGCCCATAGTGCATCGTCCAACTTCTTAGACCAATCTTTTTGGGATGAGTTCATTGTAACTTCCAGTATTCTCTTTAACTGCCTGTTCGAAACTTCAACTTGCCCATTAGTTTGTGGATGATATGGAGTTGCTACTTTATGTTTTACCCCATATTTGTTCAACAGCTACTCTAATTGACGATTTATGAAGTGTTTGCCCCCATCACTTATTATTACCCTCAGTGTGCCATATCTTGTAAATATGTACTTCTTCGAGAACTCTATCATCACTTTCGCATCGTTAGTAGGCAATGCAACAGCTTCCACCCACTTAGAGACATAGTCAACGGCCACCAGGATATATTGATTTGAGTACGATGGGGGAAAAGGTCCCATGAAATCTATTCCCCATACATCAAATATTTCAACCTCCAAGATGTAATTTAGTGGCATCTCATTTCTTCTTGAGATATTTCCGGTTCGTTAACATTTATCGCATCTCTTCACATACTCGAACGTGTCTCTGAATAAAGTAGGCCAATAGAAACCCAACTGTAATATCTTTTCAGCCGTCTTTGAAGCTCCAAAATGCCCAACATATGCAGAAGAGTGACAATGTTCTAGAATCTCAGGTACTTCATCTTCAGGAATACATCTTCTGATTATCTGATCTGCGCCTCTTCTGTAGAGAATGGGATCCTCCCAAAAGTAATACTTCAACTCTAAAAAGAACTTCTTTCTTTGATGGCTAGAATACTCTCGTGGCGGGATGGACTTAGCAAGGTAGTTAACAATATCAGCGTACCATGGGACTATCTCTACTCCAAAAATTTGGTCATCTGGAAAGATTTCATTGATCTCTACTGACATCTCAGGTTCATCCCGTTCCAATCTTGATAGGTGGTCGGCTACCACATTTTCACTGCCCTTCTTATCCTTGATCTCAATATCGAACTCTTGCAACAACAATATCCAATGGATCAATCTCGGATTGGCATCCTTCTTTGTCATAAGATACTTCAGAGCAACATAATCTATGTAGACGATGACCTTAGACCCAACAAGATACAATCTGAACTTGTCGAATGCATAAACCACAACTAGCAATTCCTTCTCGATCGTCACATGGTTGATTTGGGCATCGTTTAAAGTTCTACTTGCATAGTATATCACATGAAAGATTTTATTCTTTCTTTATCCCAATACCGCACCAGCTGCATGATCACTCGCATCGCACATTAGCTCAAAGGGTAAATCCCAATCAGGTGACACAATCACAGACGCTGTTGTGAGTTTTTCCTTCAAAGTATTGAACGCTATCAAACATTCCTCATCAAACTCAAAATATACCTCTTTCATTAGCAAGTTGCATAGAGGCTTGGTGATTTTGGAGAAGTCCTTTATAAACCTCCTGTAAAACCCTGCATGCCCAAGGAAACTTCGAACTCCTTTTACTGATGTAGGTGGTGGTAATTTCTCAATAACCTAAATTTTCGCCTTATCCACCTCTATCCCCTTTGCCGATACTCTATGTCCCAAGACTATTCTCTCTTGAACCATGAAATGACATTTCTCCCAATTTAATACTAGGTTCGTTTCTCTACATCTTTGCAAAACCAAATTTAAGTGATCCAAACACTCATCAAATGAGGTCCCAAAGATAGAGAAGTCATCCATAAAGATTTCAATGAATTTCTCTACCATATCTGAAAAAATTGCCATCATGCATCGCTGAAATGTGGCAGGAGTGTTTCAAAGTCGAAATGGCATTCTTCGGTATGCAAAGGTACCATAGGGGTATGTGAAGCTGGTCTTCTCCTGATCATCCGGTGTCATTGGTATCTGATTATAACCTAAATACCCATCCAGAAAGCAGTAGTGGGAATGGCCTGCCAATCTCTCCAACATCTGATCTACAAACGGAAGAGGGAAATGATCTTTCCTTGTAGCGGTATTTAGTTTGCGGTAATCAATGCAAACTCTCCACCCTATTACCGTCCTTGTCGGAATCAACTAATTATTTTCATTCTGAACCACTATAATTCCTCCTTTCTTGGGCACAACTTGTACTGGACTAGTCCATTTACTATCTGATATCGAGTAGATTATTCCAGCATCTAGAAGTTTGATCACCTCAGCTCTTACTACCTCCTTCATGTTTGGGTTTAGCCTTCTTTGACTTTCAACTGTTGTCCGAAAATTCTCCTCCATGAGAATTTTATGCATACATAAGGAAGGGCTGATCCCTTTGATATCAGCTATGGTCTACCCAATTGCTTACTTATTATCTCGAATCACCCTAAGCAGTTTTTCCTCCTCCACTTCACTAACCATGTTTGAAATTATCACTGCAAGTGTATTGGACTCCCCCAAATATGCATATCTTAAGTGTGGGGGCAGCTACTTAAGTTCCAACTTTGGTGGCTTCAGAATAGATGGCTGTGATTTCTCTGGCCCTGTCCCAAGCTCCTCAAAGTATCGTTTCCGTACGTAAGGTGGGTTGGATTCCAAAAATTTTGCACACATTTCTATGTCCACAGAATCAAAATTTGTGGATTTAGAATGTGCAATGCAGGCTTCCAATGCATCTGATGGATTTTGCAGTGTAAATGACTCTTTAATCATTTTATCAATCATGTCAACCCTGAAACATCTGTCAGTCTCTATTGGCAGTTTCATGGCCTTGAAGACATTGAATGAAACTTGTTCTTCTCCCAATCTCAGTATCAACTGCCCATTCTGAACGTCAATCAAAGCTCTGCCTGTGGCCAAGAATGGTCTGCCCAGTATTAAAGGAACATCTTTATCTTCTTCCATATCCAGAATCAAAAAGTCTGCTGGGAATATGAACTTTCCACTTTAACCAATACGTCTTCAATTATTCCTCGTGGATGTGTCAATGATCTATCAGCTAGCTGTAAGGTCGCCGTGGAAGCTTTAGCTTCTCCCAATCCTAATTTCCTTAAAACAGATAATGGCATTAACTTAATACTTGCACCAAGATCATATAAAGCTTTATCAAAATAAAATTCACCAATGGTACAAGGGACAGTGAAACTCCCTGGATCTTTCAATTTTGGTGGGAGCTTTTTCTAAACCCTAGCACTGCACTCCTCTGTTAGCATAACTGTCTTGTGATCTCCTAGCTTCCTTTTGTTTGATAGGATGTCTTTCAGGAATTTTGCATAGCTAGGCATTTGGACCAGTGCTTCAGCGAATGGGATGTTGAGATAGAGCTTCTTGAAGACTTCGAGAAACTTCTTGTATTGCTATTCCATCTTTTGCTTCTTCATCCTCTGTGGGAATGGTATGGGTGGCTCATAGGGGTTCACAGCTACAGTTTCTTTATCCCTTGAGTTTCCTTTATTTGCTCTCGGTGTTGGCTCTTCTGTCTTTTCTTCTTGCTCCAAAATCTCTTTTACTTCAGGAGACATCTCATCTCTATTTGCCACGAGATTATTCACTTGTCTCTCGGCCAATTCCACTCCACTTCTCGTTGTTATAGCCTTTGCATGCTCTTTCGGATTGACTTCTGTGTTACTTGGCAGGCTGCCTGGTGCTCTACCTGTTAATGTAACTGCCATCTGTCCCATCTGAGTTTCCAAATTCTTAATGGCTACATTCTGGTCCTGAAGAGTGGCTTCTGTCTTCTTCATGAATTGGTTGTTCGCCTCCACATATTGGTTGTCTGTTCCATGAATTTGCCGAACATTTCTTCCAATTGAGGCTTCTTCTCTTGCTGTTGATATTGCCCCTGTGGCTTATTCTGATTTTAGTTGCTCCAAGAAAAATTGGGGTACTTTTTCCAGCTTGGGTTGAAGGTCTCTCGATACACGTTATTCTGCTGGCGTTGTCCCCATTGAGCAAAATCTGCTTGCTCTTTTCCTTGTGTCAAAATTGGGCATTCTGCTATCACATGTTCAGCTCCACATTCCTCACAATTTGTCTTCTTTGTCTGTGCTGCATTAGCTGACTGGGTAATGTTTTCCACCTTGTGAAATAAGGAATCAATCTTAGCGGATAACGCTGAATATACATCCACTTCATAAACTCCTGGTGTCTTATTTGGTACTGCTCGTTCCATGGTCCACATTGATGAGGTTGTAGCCATTGCCTCATGCAACTTCAATACTTCATCAATTGTTTTTGTAGACAATGACCCATTAGCTGAAGAGTCGACCATGCTCTTGAAAGCTGGAAGTAGCCCTGCATAGAAATATTAGACCTGAAGTCCCTTGCTAATCCCGTGGTGCAGACAATTCCTTGGTAGATTTTTGAATCTGTTCCAATCCTCATCAAAATTCTCAGATTCACCTTGCCTGAAGATAGATATGTCATGCTTTAGCTTTGCAATCTTGGCCGGTGGGAAGAACTTAGTACAGAACTTCTAAGCTAGGTCATTCCAGGTAGTAATGCTGGCTATCGGCTGAGAATCAAGCCATTCAAGCGCCTTGTCTCGCAAAGTATGTGGAAACAGTCTTAATCTTATGGCGTTGTTAGAGATTCTTTGATATCTGAGGTGCTGACACATCTCTAAGAAGCGCGAGACGTGCGTGTGCGGATTCTCTTCAATTCTTCCATAAAACTGATGTCCGTTCTGGAACAGGTGTGTCACATTTGTCTTTAACTAAAAATTTGGCTGCCCAAATGGTGGATATACGATGCTGGACTGGCTTTGAATGATTTGAGGGGTCATGAACTCTCCAACGAGCATGTTTCCTTCATCTTCTTCCCGTCTTTCATTGGCTTGTACAACAGGATTGTGTTGTACGTTCTCCATCTAATTTCTTGCTGGTCTATTTTCTCTCTGCCTTCTTCTGAAGCTTCGTTCGATCTCTGGGTTGGCTAGGAGTAGATCTCCTTCAGCAGATCTTGGCATGCACTTCTGCAATAGAATTCAATTTAAAGACTTAAGTAACTAAAATATGCACTTATGTAATAAAACTAACTAGCAATAAAATAAAATGAACTAAAATAAATTAAAAATAAAAAGTTCGAATTAGTGCTAAATTGAATAAAATTAAACGAATATTCAATCCCCGGCAACGGCGCCAAAAACTTGTTCACGGAATAATTCTTTTGATTTAAAAATACCGCAAGTGTACGGTTCGTAACAAGTAATAAAGTGGATTTTAAAAAGTCCGAATGTCGCCCCCAGAGATTGAGTGGTTCAATTCTATATAATCTAGCCTTAACCGAATCTAATTGAGTGAAAATATGGTCTAAATGCAAAAAGCCTTAATTTCAATTAAGAAACCCTAATTTCAACTAAAACCCTAATTTCTATTGAAAACCCTAATTTCGAAATTTCTCTAATTAAATGACTCAAACACTCAAGTAAATGAAATTATGCAAATTAAAAAGCTAATTTATGGAAATTAATCAAACTAAAGTCACTAGGATCACAAATCCCCAATTGAAGTTATGAAAACCCTAATTTCATAAAATTAATGACCCGATGGAAATTTGCCAATTCAATGTTCCTAATTCTATCCAATATATTCTCTCGATATATATTAGACCTATTCTTACACACCACCAGCCTATATCTCTATGGATGATGCAAATATACAAGAATGCATGTGATTTTGTGAACAATTAAAGAATTGCATAAAGCATAGGGGTATATCTCTATCCCCTATCGGACCCTATGTTAATTTACACCTTATCGAACCTATTCCACTTCTCTCGAATGTAAGAAATAAGTCATCAACACTCACACAATCATTGGCCACTAATTGCGGAAGAAAATTAATGCACGTAAACCAATCAAATTATCCAAACGAGTCTTTATATTAAATTCATGAAATATGGAATTCAAATAACAAACAACGGTTCATCGATCACCTTGTAATTGAAAACCTAGCCTAGAATATTCATAATTATAGAAAAAAAAAGAAATTAATAAATAGAAGGAATAGCACCCGTATGAAAATTCTTGAAATCTTGAATAAAACCTTGAAAACCCGCTTGAATTCTTGTGAAATCGGCTTCAAGTTCTTGTTCCTTGCCTCCAGAAGTTGTATTTTTCTTCTCCCTGGACGTTCTGTCCTATTTCTCATGAATTTTGGCTTTTATACCATGTCTTCACGGAGCCCTGAAGGAGTTTCAATTAAAAATGGAAGTTCGGAATTTTCGTCGCATTTTTAAACCATGCGGCCGCATGGTGTTAAACCACGCGACCGCATGGTTCAAATGATCTTCCCCAATAAAATCCCTGCTGGTTCATGTGCGGCCGCATGGTATAGTTGCATGCGGCCGCAAGGTTGTAACTTTACAACCTTGCTATTTTTGTCCCTGAACTTCGTTTTCTCTTTTCTTGATCTCTTTTCTTTCTTTCCTTTGTTCCATTATCAAATATTGACTCCTAGTTGATATTTGGGTCAATCAATTCCTTGATCACTTGCTCGACTCATCTTTTGATTAATTGCAATTTAGTCCTTCATCTTTCACTTTTCTTCAATTCAGTCCAATGTTACTTCTTTCTTCCTCCGATCATCTTGTATCATCCTCAATCTCATACTTGGTATATTTTCATTCTAGTTCTGCACTTTAGCTCAACTTTCTAATATTTGCACCTTTGATCCCCGAACTATCGCTTTGTTCCGTTTTGGTCCTTTTTCGGGTCTTTTCTTCTGAATTCCATCTTTTCCATAGAAACACCTACATTGCATGAATTTAACGAGATTAAGTCACAATTAAACTACTTTCTCCATGTTTAAGTCATGTTTGTGAGCTAAATAAGTGTGTAAAAACACACTTATCAACTATGACAAACTTATCCGAGCATTGATGAAACACTCGATTCATTAGGTCTATGAACACTACAGGTGCATTGGTTAGCCCAAACGGCATCACCGTAAATTCGTAGTGTCCATATTGAGTTCTAAAAGCTACCTTAGGTATATCCTTTGTCTCTACTTTCAGTTGATGGTATCCCGATCGTAAGTCGATCTTGGAAAATACCTTAGCTCCTTTCAGTTGATCTAACAGATCCTCAATCCTCGGGAGTGGTACTTATTCTTGATGGTTAATAGATTTATCTCCCTATAATAGATGCACATCCTCATGCTTCCATCTTTCTTCTTTACAAACAACACCGGCGCTAGTCTTCTGGTACCAAATAACATGAGCTCTTTCCAGCATTTCACGGTATG